TAAGAATCTGAATTTTTGCCAACAAAATTTACGTTTATCTTAGTACTTTAACACCCTCCGCATGGGTTCCCACCTTGTCGTTGGTGGTGGGGCTGTGGCTGCGGTCGGGGCATCCGCTTAGGGATGTTTTCCGGCCGCAGTCATCTAAGAGGAACCCCCCAAGCCAAGGTGTTAGCAACCGTGCTGAGGGCTGCGTGGCACAGGAGGAGCTGTGTCATGAACGGTGCCTCCCGGATACCAGGCGACCTCCGGGAGTACGCTGCCGAGTCCCGGGCAATCACGGCTCTGCTCGGGTGAGATCGCGCGACCGCGGTACTCGTGGGAACAAGTATGGACACAGGTACAAACAAAAGCAAAAAAATAGATGACCTTCTCCAGGGGGTGGCTTCTTTAGGAAGTGAATTTAGAGAAGGAGGAAGCGACGCGGGATCGAGTACCGATGCTCGGTCCGATTCCGCGACAAGGAAACTCGCAGAGCCACGCCCGAAAATGAGTGGGGCTGCGAGAAGAAAGCTGAAGAGACAGCGGGCGAGAGAGAGGGCTGAAGAGACCTCTGAATTGGATGCTGCCTCTGGAGGCGTAACAGGAGCTCGGGGGGAGGCGGGTCCATCAGGGACACAAAAGCGCCCCAGACCGGATCTTGCAACCCCCAGCCCCTCAGAAAAACGCCTGGACAAGAAACCCAAGGTCAGTGACCAAGGGTCCTTTGCACAGGCGACTAAAGGAATAGTCAGGGTGGCACTCATTATTGAGGGTTACCCTGAAAACAAGATCAAACTCGGGCAAATAGCCATTATTAAAAAGCTGATCAGGGAAAGGATCCTGGGACTTCCAAGAGGCACCAGGACTCCCCTCTTTACCGGAGTTTGGGAGAGAGACGGGGCAATCATTTGCGGTTGCGCCGATGCAGAATCCGCGGACTGGCTGAAAAGCCTATCCTCGGAGTTAAAACTAGGGAAGAATGAGCTACGTATGCTGCCGCTTGAGGAGCTTCCGAAGCGTCACAGGCTGGTAGTACACCTAGAGGAGCCGGATTTGGCTGTTAAGGAGGCGTT